CTTCAGGAGGGAAAGGGTTAGTCTTCAGCAAGCACCCCTGAACAATTGTGACCAGGCAAGCTGGGGACAGGAAGGCCCCCAAATGCATCCAGACAGCCTCAGAAATGGTGAGGTAGCAGTTACTTGAGACCGTGTTAGTTTCTGGCTGAGGCAATAAGCAGTACTATCCTGACCAACATATTCCTCACGCTGGAAGCAGGCATGTCGAAGGCATCCTGGATTGCCATTGATGCTCCCAGGCTTGCAGACACACAGCCAGCCTTCCTCCCCACCCTCCCCCCTTCCCATCATCTCTTGTGCCACCACCCCCACTGTCCCACCTTAGCAGCCCTACTGGCTTTCCAGCCAGTTAGTGCCCCATGAGCCTCTCGGGCAGTCATGTGATGCCGCTCCCTGCAGGCAGCTCTGTGACCTGAGAGATCAGCTACAGAGAACCTTGGCTGATGGAAATAGCCAGGTCCTATGAGAAGACCAGCTCCTTCCCCCTTCCTGTCCGTATTAGTTTGCTAGGGCTGCTGTGACAAAGTACCACCGACTGGGTGGCTTAAACATCAGAAATGTATTGTCTCACCGTTCTGGAGGCTGGAAGTCCAACACGGAATGTCGGCAGGCTTGGTTTTCTCTGGGACCTGTGAGGGAAGGATCTGTTTCAGGTCTCTCTTCTTGGCCTGATGATCTTGGCCATCTTCATGTTCATGGGGTGTTCTCCCTGGGGGTGTGTCTGTCTGCAAACTTCCCTTTGCATGAGGACACCTGTCATATTGGATTTGGGCCCCCCAATGACCGTTTTTACTTGATTACCTCTGTCCAGTCCCTATCTCCAAATAAAGTCACATTCTGAGGTATTGGGGTTAGGACTTCAACATATGGATTTGAGGGGACACAGTTCAACCCATAACACTGTCCCATAACCCATAACAGGACCACTGATCCCTGTTGTCTGTTCTCTGGCCTGTCTTGATTCACAGCATCAGCAACCCTGGGATCCTGGACGTTACCCTCAGAGCTAAGCCAGAAGTCAGACCTGGATTCTAGCCTGAGCACCGTCACCAACTAGTGCTCTGGCCTTGAACGGTCCTCTTACTTCTCTGAGCCTCAGTTTCTGAAACCAAAATATAGGAAATAATTTCTGACTTGCCTACTTCACAGAGCTACTGTGAGCATCTGATGTGGTAGTGAATACAGCAGCATCGTGAAAAAATAAGCACTCCACAAATTTGAAGTAATCTCACATATTATTATTACTAGTAAGAATAAAAGAATCCTAAGGCTAGAAAAAGTGTCCCGTCCACACCCTCTGAAACTGGAGGAAAACCATTCCATGTACAAAGCCAGCCCTTTGTATCCCTCTCAAGAGGCAATCTGACAACGTTTCCCAGAGTGCTGTTTGGATGAATTCCAACTTTCATTCACTCCACAACCATCCACCCTCACCTGGTCCACTGGGCCACGTTTAAGCCCACCTGGCTTCATTTGGACCTGGGTGAGGGAGAACTGATCACCACCCGATCTTTTTCAGTCAGCCCTTTCATTAAATCAGCAGACATCTTCTGAGCACTTGCCATGCACCAGGCACTGTGCCTAGGATGGGGACTCAGAACTGGGAAAGGCCCAATCTTGATCCTTCTCCTGTTCACAGTCTAGAGGCCAGGAGTTCTGGGGTGCAATTTTCCCTTCTCCCTAAGTAACACACCCTGGCCCGATCAGTGTCTCCTTGCCCGGCAGTATTTCCCAAACCTTAGTTCCCCACACCCCATCTGCAAGTGACCCTGGCCTCCTTTGCTATGAACTTTCCTTTTAAGGCAGGACAACTCCATTCATGTTAATCATTTTCTGTGGACACCTTCAGTGCATCTGGATTGTTCTGTTACTGATAAGTGTTTAGCCGAAGGCTGCAGCCCCCAAGTCTATGTGGAGAAGACCCCGTCATCTTGCTATTCTAAAATGGGCACCTGTGACTGACTCCACCATCAGGCCCAGTGCCATGTGTTAAGGAAGGTGGCAGTCTGGTGGCTGGTCTAGCTCATAAAGTGAGAGATTCCTGTTCTTTCCATCTTGTTCTATCATCTCCCCCCTAATAGCCTAGTTAGGCTGGCTTGGTAGAGTTTCCCCAAGCCAGTGGTCAGTTCCTGCTTTCCCCTAGTTCTCTCTCTGGTCAGTATCTTTGACAACACCCCACCTCCCCAGCTGTGTTTCCAGATTCTTCTCCACTCCCCCACTTCGGCCCCCCTAGCATGCCTCCTCATGTGGACCCAATGACCTCTAATTCAGCTCTGCAAGTCTCTCCCAAGAACATCCCACATTTTTGTCTACAATAGCTAGTAATTCTCACTTCACTAATCCTCCAACCTGCTCATTCTTGCAAAGATCCCAGTGGCTTCGCCCCACTTCTCAGTAAAGACTTGGTCAGAGAGCCTCTCACTTAATAAATGTCTGCAGTGTGCTTCTCAGCGCCTTGTAATGTAGCCGCCTAAATAATTAAGACTAACCCACACGTGTCAAATTAAATGAACCAAATACATTGAGAAATTGCCTCGTCTTCCGTTTCTTTTATTAATCAGGTTTTTTAAACTTCTTTTCCTGCTCATTTGCAAAAATCAAGCGTGGTCAGAGAGGCTCTTACTTATAATAACTGTTTGGAAGGGTGGCCTCTTTCCCAGGGCGATCACCCTGGAGGGCAGCCCGTTAGGCAACACAGGATAGATGGGGGTTAGGGTGGCAGAGACAGCCGACATAGATAACCCAGACCCAGCAGGTGTGCACGCTCTCTCAATCTCTAGGAGAATTATGCCCCTGAGAGTTTAAGGCCCTGTCCAGGAAGACTAACGGGAACATTGGCCTAAATCTATCCAACATCTTCTGCCCCCACTCCTCAGTGCTTCCCTGGGCTCACTCAATCCAGGAACCCAAGCTCCCTTTCTCCTTAGGAGCCACTGCTGATGTGCTTTAGATGGGCACTAGAAGTCAGTAGAAAGTATAATAGGGATTGTTAGCAATTGTATCATTCTGATGATGAACAATACACATGCAATTATGATGGGCTGGTTAACTCTGCCTGTCGTCAGCATGTTGAGGTTTCAATAGAGGCTCAGGCAAGAGGCTATTGTTTGCTGGAGCTCAGCACCTCCTCACAGCTTGTATTTCCGCTGGCCCCCTCCTGGCATGCTGGATTCCTGCCTCTTGAAGGTGGTTGTTAGAGAGAATCCACAAATATAGTAAGTAAACATCAAAGGGACTTTGATCCACGCGCCCCTCAACAGAGCGGGAGCCCCTGAAGAAAGGGCCAAGGCCTTGGATGAGGGAACTTAACATCATCAATTTGGGCGCCTGAGATGTAAGGCTGTTTGAAGTGAGGGCGGTTTGGCCGTGCCTTCAGACAAGTGAGCGCGGAGGGAAAGGAAGAGAAGTGAGTGCCTTTGGAAAAGGCACGCTCAGATCTGCTTCTCTGCTCTTTACTGATAGTCAATAAACCCCTTTAAAGAATTGAAAGATCAAAGCTAGCGGGCTCCCTGGGCCATGGCATTCTGCCACCACCCGACACGCTTTGTTTTCCTCTAGGGCAGGAGCCCCCAAGCTCAACTTATCTGACTCTCGTGGGCCCTTTCATCCTGTTACCCATGAAGGGTGGACCTGGGCAACAAGAGATGGATGAAGAGGTAGGGAGGAGGACTGGCCCACCCTGTCCACACTCTAACAGCCTAGATGCTGACTGGCTGGAGCTCAGAGAAACACCCAGTGTCATGAGAGAAGTCACTGTGACACACCCCTCAGTGGGACCCTCCTTCTCCGAGAAACTGGTGGAGGGAGCAACTGGGTGCCCAGAAAGCTTGGCAAGATCTGGGAGGAGGTGCAGCCACATCTCCTTTTCCAGAAATCATACCCCTTATCCATTCATCCAGTTTATGGCAGCTGTCACATTTGTACGACTTCCAAGCAAAGAGGTGGGGGCAGGGAGTCTAAAATAATCACAGGAAGTTGTTTAATGTCTTTGAACTTCAACTTTCTCATCTGCATAATGTGAAGAGAAATAACCTATCTACCTACCTCCTGGGGTTGTTGTGGGGTCAAAAGAGAAACCTGGTGTGGAATTGCTTCCAAACCATAAAGTGTTTAAGAAGAATCAGGATTAAATCTAAATGCCAGAGAGGAAAGCTTGCCTTCTTGTGGGGCAGATGTACTCCAGTCCAAGCCACACAAGGGACACTATTTACAAAATACTGTGCAAAAAAAAAAATATCTCTTGCCTTTGCTGCCTAGAATTGTTGTTCTACCTTGTTTTTCCAGTTGGGTCAGAGTCTTGTGGGACCAGAGTCTATGTCTTGTGTCTCTTTGCCATCCCAGCCCCCGTGTTCCACACTGAGTCTGCACCTCATAAGTGTTTGATGATGGTGCTGAATTGTACCTGAATATAAGAATGCACAGGCCCAGAAACTTACTCTCCCCAAAGGTAGACTCCTTCAACCTATATCTTGACCCCTGTGTCTTCCCTCAAATTCACCCAGTCACTTCCCAATCCTTTTGAATTACCCACTGTATCTAGTTGCACTGCTGCATCCGGGACACCACTGGCTGGACTCTGCCTCTTCTCTGGCAGGCCTGACAACAATCCCAGCATGATCTGGGCATAGTCCCCAAGCCTGCGATATATGGGGCCTCATTAACCTATAGAGTAAAGGTTATCAGCATGGACTCTGGAGCCAGACTTCCTGGGTTCAAACTCCTGGTTCCACCACCCACTAGGTCTTCCATCTAAGGCTGTTTGCTTAATACATCTATAAATGGAGATAATAATGGTATGTTCCTCATAGAGTTGTGGTAAGAATCAAATGAGGAATTATTGGCTTAAAATTACACCTGGACCATAGTAAGTGCTATGTAAATGTTTGTTAAAGAAATAAGTAGCCCTATTTTTAAGAGCAACAAACTTCACATCCCTTGCAAAGGGGCCTTCCCTGACACCTGACCCATTCCCAGCTCACCCACCTGTGCTTTTCTTCCAGAGCTGGGCCTCCAGAAGAGAGGATGCTGTCTGGTGCTGGGCTACATGGCCAAGGACAAGTTTCGGAGAATGAATGAAGGTCAGTGAGAACCTGCTCACCCTCTCAGGGTTAATGTGGAGGGAGGAAGCTATGCCCTACAACCATGGTACCAGGAAAAGAACCTGGGACATCTCAGAAAGGACAGTGGGTAGATCAGTTTGATTTCCACAAAGCTATTTATGTAGCAATGTGGGGAAGAGTTGCTAATGCCTGAAACACTGTATGCTGATTCCTCATGCTATCTTCCCTCCTCCTTTGTATCCCCCACCTCTCTTCCTCTCTCTTCCCTAGCTTTTGTTCCCCACCCACCCTCCAGTGCAATTAAATCTGCTTTTATTGTCTTTTCTAATCCAGACCTCTCTACCTTTCTCTTCAATCATTCACATTTCTTGAATGCCCATTGAATGAGCAGCACTTTACAGGGCACTTGGGAGAATGCTAAAGAATAAGGCAGAGTTTTTATTCTTAAAGGAGTTAGACTTGGAAACCTACGCTCTTCCCAACTCTATTGGCCTCACCTCTCCCTTACTCATGGGCCATTCTGCCTTCCTCTTGTACTGGGTCTTTCCTCCGAGGCTTGACTGGGTCACAGAAGGCTTGGGGAAGGTATTGACATTGATGTGGAGGCTGGGATTTGAAAGGAGTGCTGTCACTTACGAGCCTGCTGTAATAAAGAGCCAATCCTCTCGATCCCCAGCCATCTGTCTCTGTGCAGCTAATAACCCTCTCCATCAGATGCCACAGACTGTTTGTCAGGATTCAAAAGTAGGTAAACAATTGTGAGAATGCCATTTATTCATTAAAGTCAGACAAATGAAGCCCTGGCTTCCCGCTAGCCCAGCTTGCCATGGTTGGACCCCTCCCCTCCCAAGGCCTGGGGCCCCTGTAGCCTCATTCCCATTCCAAGCATGGAGGAGGCAGCTCACCTGTACCATTTCCATCCCCAGAGTTAGCTTCTCTGCCCTCTTCCTATGATCCTCAGCTGGCTCTCCTCCAATGCACAGTCCCTGACACCCACATCCCCATGTGCTCCCCAGACCGAATATCTTGCCAGCTATAGGTTTGTTGCCAGCACCCATCATGGTGACAGTTTGACAAGAGTTAGGCCAGCACAAGTGAGCACCTCCCCCATTTTGCTACCCCTCTGTGTAAGAAGGCAGCAGCATCAAGGAGCCACTTCCCATTTGAAGGAGCCGCACAGCTGAGCACAGCTAGGTTTGGGGGCTGCATTTTCTGCATCCTGCCAGTCAGTCTCCCTCCCTGACTTTTCTCGTTCTCAGCCTACCCACTCCTTTCCCAACACAGCCTTCATGAGAGTGCTAGGCAGTAACTTCTAATTTGTGGGAACTGACAGGGTGCCTCTGTCCATGGTGCTGAATAGACATGTTCTTTGCTGGCAATGCTCATTAGAGAAGCTGAAACGAGGTTCACTGGGATTGTGGGAGCCAAAAAGTCAGGAGCCGGGCTGGATATGAAACCTCAAACTCCAAGCATCTGACCCGAGTAGAAGGATACTGACTCCAGATCCTGCGGCCTAAAAAGAGTCATATCACGAGGCTGATGAACACGATCTGACTCCCCCGACCTTTCACAAGTGGTTAAGGGAGGGATATATCAGTCAGCTCAGGCCGCCACAACAAAATACCATAGACTGGGTGGCTTAGACAACAGAAATTTATTTTCTCACAGTTCTAGATACTGTAAGTCCGAGGTCAGGATGCCATCATGGTCAGGTTATGGTGAGAGCTCTCCTCCTGGCTTGCAGATGGCCGTCTTCTTACTGTATCCTCACATGACAGAGAGATAAAGAGAGAGAGCTTTCTGGTGTCTCTTATTATATGGACATTAATCCCATATGACACTTATGACCTCATTTAACCTTAATTACTTCTGTAAAGGCCCTATAGCCAAATACAGTCACATTGGGGTTAGGGCTTCAACATAGGGACAGGGTGAGGGGACACAATTCAATCCATAGCATGGTGTCTGAATGCATTTACCATAGCAGAAAGGCAAATGAACCAGGGATTAAGAAAATAACAAGAAAAAGAAATTCAGCATTAGGTGGAGAGGCACTCCTTAGATATTGTTTAGGTAAAGAAGAAAGGAAGAGAGTCAGAGAGGACCAGAAGAGGACTTGGAAACAAGACCAAAACCTGATTACTTCTGAGGACAGTTAGCCTTACTTTGTGCAACAACTAAGCTAAAACAGCATTTTTAAAAGATTTTTCTTGTTAAAATGGGAAGATGCCAAAACAATGCCTATTCTCTCTGAGCCTCATCTCCAAACACATACAATCCACACAAATGGGTTATTCCTTTGAACTGATTATGGTTGACTTGGTTAAGAATGAGAGATTCCAGGTGCCTTACCCCACCTAAACCCTCCCTCTAGAGAAGGCTAATTGAGAATCAAGCAAGGTCTTCAGAAAGAGGGAGGCGACAGAGGCATCAACAATGGCCAAGAGGTAATGGGGCAGCTAATTACCTCCCTCTCTGCATACGGTTTTCACCCCTCCCAAATGCCCCAACACACACTTTCATGCACATACTCATACACAACCACACACACAGTAGCAGCTGCTGCTGGGTGACCAAGGAGACAAGAGAGTGGTAAGCAAGCTAAACCACCATGTGTCATGACTTACAAATCTCAAGTAACAAAGAGGAGGCAGAATAGGAAGGACAGTGGAGCAAAGGAGAGATGCATGGGATGGGCCAGCTTTGGCTCTGGATGGGTGGAAGGCATGAGGAGGAGAAGAGGAATGGACCTGGTGGGGAGGGGGGCCTCCTCTGCTCCCACTCCAGCCAGTCCTCCTGCCCCAAGAGGCACATTATACACTTTTTCCTCTTTCTAAAGCTCATGTGTCCAAACTCCAACACGTCTGCAGATAAGAAAAGACACCAGCAAGCATGGAGAGCTGTTTTATGGTTTATAATTATCTTGTACCCATGCGCAAAATTATTATAACTTCCACATATTAATAATTGAACTGGAATAGCAGCCATGACATAGATCAAGAACCAGAAATCTCTGTCCATGCTGCACTACACACCTTGGTATAAATTGAACAATTGGTAAAATAGTAAAAAACAATTATTTTTCTCCTAGATGCTGGAATTAGTGAGATATTGGAACAATTAGCTGCTTCTTCCATTAAAGATAAGGTGGTGATCATTATATTTCCAATTTAGAATAAATATAAAAGACCTACTTGTGTTGTATTAAAGCATATTTGTTCTGTTTAACAGTATCTAATAGGGTGTCTGTCATCCGGGGAGAAGTGGTCCCCTATTTCATTTGTTTCCTTGTTAATTTGGTATCTTTTTATTTTCTTTTCCCTCTACTCCCCCCTCCTTGCTACATCCCAAAAAATAACAGCTTGAGAAGTAAGAGAAAAATAATGAATGAACAAGAGCTTTATGGAGCTGGGGTTTATCATAAGCTGGAGTAATTGTGATTGGTGCTGTTAAACTACACAAAGCAATAAAAAGAAAACACTATTCAAAGATCGTTTAGGAGGCACATGATAGTCAATGAGAGGTTTGCTCTATTTGGGAGCACTTAATGGCTTCTCGGATAAAATCTGCAGCACTTGCAGGAATGTTGGAGGTTGGTAATGGTGGGGGGGGGGGGGGGTGGTCTGTGTGTGTTCATTGGTCTGTTTGGACTCAGTACATCTGACACATCAAATGGAGACCTGAACAAAGATCAATGAAGGGCAGACAAGAAAGGAGGAAATAAAGACAGACTAGGCATAAGAATATCAGATTTATTTGACATAATCGTCTTCGTGTGATTAAGTACAAGTTGCTTTAAACAGGAACTGCTGGAAGGAGATCACTTGTTTATTCATCAAACATTCATTGAATACCTACCATAAAAACAATACCAATTCTTCATAATAAGTGCCAGGCATTGCTCTAAGTACTGGAGCTATGAACGTAAGTAAGGCATAGCCCTGCCCTCAAAGAGCTCACAGTAAAAACATGCAGGGACATCTCCACTGTCACCTCCACGAAGAGACCCTGCCTGACCACCTCACCTAAAGTGCTTACCCTTCTTCCCCAGCATTTGCTCCACTGTGGCCACCAGCCTATTTATTTTGTGGCACTTGCCCTAATTGTTGATTATTCATTAGACTGTCTGTCTCACCTAGAGTGTTTGCCTCAGGAAGGCAAAGATCCTGCCCCCTCCTTTCTTGTCTATGCCTGGGCCTTTGGAGTAGTTGAACTTTTTTATTTAAATAATTAATTAGCTCCATGAGTGACAATAGTGGAACGCGCAAAGTCACCCACAGGTGTAAGGTGCGTCTTGAGAAGGAGCTCACCAGGCAGAGCAAACTGCTGTAGAGCATCCCATGAAATGGGAGTCTCCACAGCTCCAGTAATCCCACAAGTCTTACCTCTCAGCCTCTCCTCCAATTCCAGTACTATTGCGCCTTCCTAGGGGGCCAGGGCCCAGGAGGTTAGCAGAGCAAGAGGCCTGGGGGGAGCCCCACATGTGGTCTCCCTCCTTTCTGCACCAGCTCTCCTTCCTCACTCATCAACTGCTGGGCCACATTCTCAGGGCAACTCTAGGCAGATATTTCCCATCAGATCTGCAAGGGAACTGTTCCCACTCTTCCCTTACCCCACACACCCAAGACACACACACACACACATACACACCATTCCCTTCCCTTTCCAGGCTCTGTCCCTGCTTACCCATTTCTCCTAAAGATCCCAGGACCACTCACCTTCTCAATGTGCACTGCTTTCCCAGCGCTGATCCAATTCACCCCAGAATAGAAAGCTCTCACGTGGAATCAGATAAGGGGCTCTGCCTGCCTCCGGAAAAGCTCAGCATTCCTCTATGTTAGAACTGTAAACAACCCTGCGATTATCGTGCAAACCCACCAACTCAGGAGCATTGAGTGACTCATTTAGGGTCAATAGGAAGCTGCTGGAAGACCCAGGACCACAACCCAGGTCTCCTGACATCCGGTCCAGGGATCTGGGGATTCCGAAAGAAGAAGCTAAGACCGTGAGCAGAGGGA